TCACGGGTATTGGAGACCAACGATGTCACGCAGGCGGTGGGATCAGTCAACGTCGCCACGTCAACACCGTCTAATCCGTCTTCTTCTCCTTCGCCGCCGTCAACCTCGCCATCGCCGCCATCATCATCGTCATCATCGTCGCTGTCCGCGCCTAATTTTGATAGCTCCGACGCGGCCGCAACGCCAGCTGCCGCCGTACCGGCGCCTAGTAGCCACGGCCGCTGCGCTGACGGCAGCCGGTGGCGGCGCCAGCTGCTGATGGATGCCGTACAGGTGCTGGGGCTGCTGCAGCACGATCGTCTCAGCGCCTCCCTGCCAGGCGAAGGCGTCGCTGGCGGCGTCGCCGGCGGCGGCGGCACTGCTGTGGAGGCGGCGGCGGATATCCGTAACCGTCGGTCAGCTCTGTGGGAGTTGCTGATGCCGCCGCTGATCCGCGCCTGCGACTCCCGAGACCTGACGCTGGAAGACAAGTTATTGGTGCTGGAGGGCCTTACGGGTGCACCTCGCGGCGACAGCGGTGGAGCTGCCGCCGCCGCCGCCCCCGCAGCTACGCATCGGCAGCTGGCGGAGCAACTGATTGACTCCATATCCTCATGGCTGATACGGCAGGCACCAGCGGCACAGCCGCCTGACGCCGCCGGCGCTGCAGGCAGTGGCAGGGCAGGGGGGGATGGGACTGGTCGGCCAAGTCCAGCTGCTATGCCAGCGGAGGCTGTGGAAATATACAGCCGGACCGTCGCCGCCATGCGGGGTCTGTCGTACAGCTCCCACCCAGCGCTGGCGCAGCTGGCGGCCGTATTCACGCCCTGGCTGGAACGCAAGCAGCTGCAAGACCTCCTAGCCGCGGCGCTGCGGCTGGAGGAGCTGCGACGTCACGCCGCCGCCGCCGCAGGCGGCGGCGGCGTCGCAGGCCCGAATGCATCGACGGCGGAGGCGGCGGAGGCCGAGGCGGCGGCAGCAGCAGTGGAGGCGGCGGCGGTCAAGGAGCGGCTTTTGCGCGCGCTGCAGCGGGCGGCGCCGGATCAGAGGCTGACGACGTTCTGCCACCTGGCCCAGAGCGGGGCTGTGGGAGATGGCGCTCTGGTGGAGGCCGTGGTGGACCTGCTGCTGCAGGACATCGCGGTGCGTAGGGGGCCGTGAATGGCCGTGCATGGGCTCGATTAAGAAGGACTGCCGTACAGTCGTACCTCAGCAAAAATCAAAAAGTGTGCTTGGAGGCTTGTGCCCCAGATCTAACAGTCGCGGGGATGCGGGACAGGCACCGTGGATCACGTGTGTTACGGGTCGTGTGTACGGCGCCGCTGCTGACCTTGGCGGAGGAGACGGAGCACGGGGGCCTGCTGTACCGCCGCCGCCGCCGCCGCCGCCCGATTGGCCAATTATTCAAGTCGTTACATCACATGTATAATATGTGCTGAGCTTCCACACGCGTCGATCATTTGCCTGCCTGCCTGCCTGTCTATCTGTCTGTCCATCTGTCAGGCTCCAGGCCTTAGCGCCTGAAACCTTTACCTCGATTTCGCTGCCGTATAATTATTCACTGCCACGCGCCCATCCCGCCCGGTCAGGCTTTTCTGCCCTGGGAGCATGTAAGGCTTCTCAAGGCCGTAGCTATGCTGGCAAGCAGCGGTTGTTCCGCCACCGCCGCCGCCGCCGCGCCGGCCGCCTCCGTGGCCGCTGTCGCCTCAGCGGCGCGCGGTCAGTCTGTCGCGGAGCTTGTGGCACGCATCGCGGCGCGGCTCAAATCGCGCACTGACGACTACAGCAATCAGCAGCTTGCAACCGTGCTGCCGCTACTGGAGCGACTGACCGCCGTCGGCTGTAGCGTGGACCGGGCTGTAGTACCTGCGCTGCAGCGCAGCCTGCTGCAGCGATTGGCGCAGCCGTCGTGTGGTCTTCCTGAGGCGGCGGCGGTGCTGCAGCGCCTGGCGGCAGCGGCAGCGGCGGCAGTGCCGTCGCGTGCTGGCGTTTCGTACGCGGACGCGGCGACGCCTGCGGATCGAGAGGTGGACGGCCTGATCCGGCTGCTGCACGCCATCGCAGATGCCGTGCTCCGGGCGCCAATGGAGGGCTGCGTCGACGGAGACGCCAGCGGCGGGTACGGCAGCCACACAGGCCAGGCACGGGCCGGCGCCGTCGGCTTGCGTAACCTGGCAGAGCAGCACCTGGAGGTCCTGGCGGGCTTCGCAGCTCTGGGCTATAACCGCAGCAGTAGCAGTAGTAGCGGCAGTAGTATTAGTGGCAGCAGTAGTGGCAGCAGTAGCGGCGGCTGGCGCTGGGCTGCTTTGCTAGAGCGGACGCATAGCCTGGTCCGGAGCCAGCTACACCGTGACGCAGCGGCGCCTCTGTGGCGGCAGCGGCAGCAGCAGCAGCAGCAGCAAGTGGCTCACGGGCGCCAGCTGCTGCGGCTGCCGGAGCTGCAGGAGGTCCTAACAGATCTGCAGCGCCAGAGCGCTGCTGCCGCCGTGGCGGCAGCAGCGGCTGGTGATGCGGCAGCGGCAGCGGCCGCCAAGGCAGCCGCCGCCGCCGCCAACCAGGCTGCAGCCCGGGAGGCCCTTCGGGAGGCTATCACTGAGGCGGCCAGGGCGGGACGTAGGGCAGCTAAGAAACGGGCCGCCGTGGAAATGATGCGTGCCGGTGCCAGTGTGGGGCCAGGTGTGGTGTCGAGTACGGCTCGGCGGCATGGAGTTGTGGCTGGAGGAAGGTCCGAGTATGGATGGCATGAAATGACGCCCGAGGTAAAGGTTGCCATTGAGGAGATGAACGCTGAAGTGGCAGAAGCAAAGGCGCGAGCGGCGGTGGCAAGTGCGAGGGCGTTCGCGGCATCGACAGCGGATGCTGCTGTGCGCAGTGCAGAGGCGGCGAAAGCTGCAGCGGCGGAGGCGGCGGAGGCGGCGGCCGCGACGGCTGCAGCTGCAGCGGCGGCGGAGGCCGAGGCAGCGGAGCAGGTGGCGAAGGCGAGGCGGGTGGAAGCGGAGCAGGCGGCAGCGGTGGCCGCGGCAGTTTCGATGCAGCGGTTTTGGCTCCGAACCCTCGATGTGATGTTGGGCGTTGACGCTTTGCCCCTGGACGTGTTGGCAATGTGTGGCGAGCTGTTGGAGGATCTGTTACTTGATGAGTCCGGAGGGATAGCGGAACGCGAAGACGAAGCAGGAGAGCAAAGGGAGAGGGAGGAGCAGGAGGGGGAGGGGGAGGGGGAGGGGGAGGCGGAAACTTTGGAGGACATCGACTGGGGCTAGCGCCAGTTGAGTTGGCGGGCCCTTGATGAAGATTGGGTGACCGATTGGTTGAGTTGGCCAGCTGCATGATACGGTGCCAGCTGCGTGCGCCATGGCATGTGGCTTGGCTGTCGGGTGGGGGTTCCGTGCCGATGTGTGTATATGTGTGTATGTGCAAAATTCGTTTAGGGCATTTGAAATTAGGAATAATAACCAGCGGAGGCAGTTTGGGAAGTCCTAGTAGTATTAGTAGTATTAGTAGTAATAATACTGCAGGATAGCTCATGTGCAGGCACCGGCCCGACTTGTCGCGGATGTTTTGCTGCGGCTAGCTATATCGCCTACCTAGATTGGCCCCCTAATCCGGGGGGAAGGGGCGTTTAAGGCCGGATGGAGGTGACCCCCCCTTGCCGAGGACCTGGATGCCTGACCCAGCCCGCCGTTGACAGCGCTGACCCCCGTCATGGCAGCAAGGCAGAACGACGGGGCATTCCAGAACTGATTGGACAACAGCATGAACACAGCCATGGTCTAAGATGTGCGAACAGGCGAATCACGCACAACTCGAAGCAGCAGTGTCCTTCAATTCATGCGAACAATGTCTTCGGACATCACATTTGGTGGGTTTAGGTTACAAGATACAAGTTACAAGTTCCGCACGAGTGTCAAAGCCGGGAGACCATGGACATGTTTTAGGGATGCATGACTTCGCAACAGGGATTTGGTTGTATTCCTGATGCCGATCGATAGAGTCAGAGTAAGCAGACGCTGAGATATATCAAAGGAAGCCCTTCCGCATGTAAAGGGGCTGGGGCTGGATCATCCAGCAGTGCGAACGTGCAAGGTAACAATCAGCCTGATGTGGAAATGGCGGGAACTCGGTATCCAGTTAGGGAACGCAAACGTCCTGGCGAGTGGTGGCGGAATGAACCCGGTCGTACTGTTACTGGCCGAGTCAACGCTGCAATTTCCGCTGGGATTACAGAGCCTAACTTGTATGCCGAAGCCATCCCAGGTCCACATGCAGACGACTGGTGGCAGTGAGTGCCGCGAAAATTCTGTATCCGGTTGACCCCGCTGGATAGCGTGGATTGCAGCAGGCCATCATCTGCTACAACTACAAACAGACGGGCCGTATAGCTCGCATTGTTGACTTAGATACGACGGAGTGAAGCGATCGGAGTCTCTAAGTCTGGTTCTGTGCGACTGTCGTACAACCGTATTGGAATGGCGAGTATTAATTGCTTCAGCTCTTTCGTTTCAGGCATTCTGCCTTTCACTCAGTAGAGCTTCAGCTTGTAGCTGACAGCTTCCCGCCCACCCTCCCCCCTTCGCTTCGAGGTTGCTATCTCTTCTTTTACCCCCCCCTCTCTTTTCCCTTCTTCACTGACCAGTCCCAGGCACCTCCACACCGGGCTCGGCTAGAGGCGGACAGGTAGAAGACGCCCGCTGAGGAGTGGCTTGTCAGCAGGCGGGTCGAGAGCAGAGACTTGAGTGTTTTGGTTGCAGTTGGGTCGTTTAGCCTTGCAGAGTGGTCTTGGGAGCCCTTGGAGGGGGCGCTCTTCGCCTAGGATTCAGTCGGTCTTCTTGGTCGGGCTTTAGCGCGTTAGGGTCGCCGTTGTGTGCGTGGTAGTGGTGATCGTTGGGGGTCCTTTGGCCTAGCGTCTTGTGTTGTCTGTCGCGCGCGTGTTTTCCCTTGGGGGTGTGTGTTGTCGGCCGCGCGGTACCGGTGCGGCGGCCGTAGGGGCCGCATTCGCGCGGCCATGGTTGGCTTGAGTTGTGTTCTACTGCAGTGTAAGGGCCCTTGGCAACCTGTCTCCCCGTTTTCCGCCTCTATCATTCTTTGCACGGTCAGCCAGCTTGTTCGAGTCGACATAGCCATGAGAATACGGTTAAGGGAGACAGGAGCACAGAAGTTGCAGAGAGAGTCGCAGCCTAACGTGCAGGGAAGGAGGTAGTCTTGGCGCCCGCACGTGGCAGGTGGGGTAGCATGCCTCAACAGACAGGCGGTGGCGGCAGTGCAGTGATGCCGTGTATTTTTTGCTGCAAGATAAGAACAACTATTTGTTAAGGGCAATTGTCTGGCTCCGAAGCGGCAAGTATTTGTGTACCTGAGTCGGGGCCTCTGCCAAGCTCTGGTAGTCTTAGGAGACACAGTCAGCGAGGCACCACTGTCACCTGTGGGTGGTGGAGGAATGCCGGAAGAAGCCCGAACATCCAGTGGTGCAAGCCAGCGCAGGGGTTCAGAAGAAGAGGGCAGGAAATATGAGGAGTTATCATGGCCTTCGGAGTGGTGTTGTGGTGATGCAGGAAGGAGGATAGGAGGTCACATTGACGTAGCTGTCACTGATCCGAACCCTGCTGAGCTTTTGCTGAGTAATACTTTCACTGAAGCCATTCCAGGAGCAAATGCAAATGAGTGGCGCAGAGTGATGGTCGAGGAGATTGCTGCATTAGCAGCTAACGGCACTTGTGAGCCACGTGCACAGTTTCATGATGTGCATGTGCTACTGTCCCGGTGGGTGCACAAATTGGAAACACTGGAAAATGACAGTGTCAAGCGCTCTTTTGCATGGCTAGTTGCAAAGATGTACGAGAAGTACGAGACCTTGGAAAAGCGCAGGTGTTTTTGGGCATGGAAATTGTGAGGATGAAGCCGGGCGCATTGGTGTTGTCGCAATGTAGGTATATTGAGCAGCTACTGGAGCGTCACCAGATGGTGGACACCAAGCCACGGCCTACCCCTTTGCCTCCGGGTTTTATGTGCACACCTACGGGGGATACAGATGAGCTGCTGGGTAATCCCACGGAGTATCAAGCTTTAGTGGGAGGGTTGAACTACCTAGCGACAAACACACGGCCTGACATTGCCTTTGCATTGAGCGTTCTGTCCCGGCATATGTCCGCACCCATGAAGAGCGCCATGAATCTGGCGACTGGTGTTTTGCGTTATCTGGCAGGTACACGCGAACTAGGGTTGCGTTTTGGGGGTGTTGGTGATGTCCAGATGTCCGGGTATAGCAATTCAGACTGGGCGGGAGACCCTGTCACGAGGCGTTCAACGTCGGGCTACATATTCACTCTTAATGGGGCTGCAATTAGCTGGTGCAGCCAGCTACAGCGTACGGTGGCCGCTTCATCTGTGGAGGCCGAGTGCCAAGCTACAGCAGCAGCGGTTTGTGAGGCGCTGTGGCTTCGCAAACTGGCAGTCGACCTGGGTTTGCCAGAGATTGCTATTAAAATCCAGATGGACTCCCAGGGGAGATGAGCTTGGGGAACAATCCGATTACGTCTGCCCGGTCGAAGCACATTGACGTGCCGCACCATATCATTCGGGAAAGAGTAACTAGTGGGGAGGTTCAGTTGGAGTACTGCCCTACGGAGTGGATGGTTGCAGATGTACTTCCGAAGGCACTTGGAGAATTGAAGTTCAAACGGTGCATAGACGCTATGGGCGTTGTGTGAAGCGCTCCTGCTATGCTCGCAAATAAGGGGGCGGATGATTCACCGTCTCCTTAACCTTAGCATGTCAGACAAAAACTGATTGGTGGAGCAAACGTGCTACTGTGTGTTGGGATATGTCCCGAGGGGACGTGTTGAAGGGCGGTCCTATCCCAACGTAAGTGCAGGGTGGTAGGTGGGCGATGACTTCGGGCCGTGCCTCGGCTGTGCCTCGGCCGTGCCTCGGCCGTGCCTCGGCCGTGCCTCGGCCGTGCCTCGGCCGTGCCTCGGCCGTGCCTCGGCCGTGCCTCGGGTCTCTCGGCCGCGTATCTCGGACGTGTCCTCGGGTCCAGGGACGGTGGGCGACTGTATCGGTACATAAGGCAAGAGTTGAGCATGCCTTTCTATCTCATCTTTGGATGGATCGGTATTCCTTACTAGGAATCTCTTAAAGTCCTGCCGGTCACCATTAATCCACAGATTGTAACCCTTATATCGCGACCAGTCTCCTTGCCTTCATATTCTTAAAAGGTAAGGTAGGGTACCCTGGGCTGCATCCGCCGCGGCGCAGTAATAGCCGAACGCCATGGCTGGGGGCGCCCGGCCCAACTGCAAAGGAACGCTTGGTCTCGGCAATTACCTGGGTCACCGCCTTGGCGTAAGCCTCCAGTGTGCCCAAGAAGGTGTAGTCGATGCCCCCACTGGCGGCCACGAAAATGATGTCCACCTGGCGCATCACCAGCAAGTAGGTGGCCATCACCCGCGTTGCGTGCAGGCGTGTGGCACTGCTCTTCGGACCAGCTGCGCGACACATCTGAGCTACCTTCTCATCCCTTAAAAACAAACTGATCCTTGAGACTGGGCAGTATGGGGTGGCAAGACTTGTGCCACAGGGTGTCCCTGACCGCATCCCTGTTGGCCGCCCACCACGGGTTCACTGTCTGATCCATGGTGTTGAAGACCTCCTTCTCT